CCGCCCATCACCTGATCTCCTCGGCTGAGAAGTTGACGATGGTGGGGATGAAGTTCTCGCGCATGATGACCGAGCGGATCTGCTTCCAGTCAGTCGTGCTCTCCCCCAGCAGCAGGCAGATGGACTCGAGCGCCAGCTTCACGGCCGCTGGCGGGTTGGCCATGGAGCGCACCTCCACCAGGTGCTGCTTCTTGATGGACTTCACGGCTGAGGGCCACAGGTGAGCAGGGCAGGCAGGAGGGGCGGGGAGGGAGGAGCACGGTAAGAGAGGCTGGACGCCAGCGACAAAAAGGTAACGGCCAAGGAGACTTTCTGTCTACAAACCCCTGGAGCAGCGTAAGGAGCTGGTGTTCTAAATAATGATGACGACTTTACTATATGCTCACCCTAAAGTTTACAACTTCCTTACAAAGCAGGACACTCACTGTCTTTAAAGTCCAAGTCCTCGTTAACTCCCTTAGCACCTCACAGACTACAGAACATCGTTCTGCTTCATTGTGCCTTTTACCTTACAGAATTGCACAGCCACGTTTCAACCTGCCACAATCCAGAAGCTGTCTAAAGGACTGAGTGGCAATGTGGAGTTAACGGTTCGAAGAACTGATCAACATCAGTGCCTTCCACAAACCAGGTGCCTACTCTCTCACTGAGACTTCACCAGTTAAGTCATTACTCAGCCCGGGAGAACTAAACAACACTCTCATTCCAACCCAGCCTTGAAAGAACACCCACCGTTTGGGTGGTGCTACTGTAATGAGGACACTGCGGGCGAGCAGGTGACTCGCAGGTGAGGCACTGACGCAGGGGAGGCGAGAACAGAGTGCAGAGGGAGGGCTGCCCTCCGGTACCCTGCAGGGCTGCAGACGGACACGGGACGGGCACTGCCCACGAGGAGCAGCTCTCCGTGTGAGGAGCGGGGACGTGACTGCTGCCCACCCTCACACTGTTGTGCAGGGTCCCCATCAGCACCTGCTCAGAAGGAATTACCCAAAGGCAACGCTGTGCGCCTTTCATGGTGTTTCCTGGTGAAATTCAAGCTGAGAGCTGGTAAGTGGCCTATTTACGTCCTTACAAATGGGTCGATGAAGATGTGAGCTGCTATGTAACTCCTCTTGCCCACCCGAGAAGGGCTGTGAGGCAAGCAGCCTGGTTCCACCCCGAGCTCTGCTTTCTCACGAGGAGGCTCCTGAGTCCCCGGGAATGCCCCCGGATGCTCGGCCACACTCCCGGGGTGTCCCGTACCGTTCTGGGCCTCGATGACAGCAGGCTCCACCTTGTCCAGGTCCTCTTTGACACTCATCTGCTTGTCGGCAATGACCTCCTGCTGCTTATGCAGCTGCTCCTGAATCTCCTGGCTCATGACCTAGGGGGGGAAAGATGGCTTAGCTCTGGGTGAAGCCGTGGCTAAGTTACTGACAGAATCCTAAAACAACATTCCTGCAGCACCAAACACGCACACAGCTCTGATCACATCCACCACCAACCCAATCCACTGCTGTCGACTCCCGCTCCTATCGACCCTGAGGATAGAGCAGAACCGCCCCATAGGGTCACTAAGGCTGTAATTTTCACAGAAGCAGCCTGATTCATCTTTGTCCCACACAGCTGCTGATAGGTTCCAACTGCCCACCTTGCAGTTAGCAGATCAGTGCTTCACAACTGCACCACCAGGGCACTTTCTCCACTACCATTAAACCCTGAAGCGTGTCTCCAACGTGCTCTCCCTCTCTCTCCCTCCCCCCTCCCCTATCTCTATCTTTTGTTGTTGCTGGCTGGCATTGATTCCATTCTGATTCGTGACCACATGTGTGCAGAGCAGAACTGCTTCTCTCTCTCCCTCCCCGTCTTTCCCGTCTCTCCCCCCAGTATCTCTCTCTCCCCCCCATGTATCTGTCTCTCTCCCC